AACATCTATCTTTATACATAAATATACATACACACAAATACACATATAAATATATATCATTTATGTACGATAATATAATTCTAAGACACTATCTCACATATGTATATGTATGAATAGTTGATCAAGAAAAAAACACAAAACACAATATAAATACACACACACACACACACACACACACACACACACACACGAATGACCCGAAAAAATAAGTTATTTATACTACACATTTAAACACAAACACACACACACACATATATATATCTTTGTGTGTGTGTGTGTTAGTGTGTAAGCATACACGTTAAATAATTTATATCATTAAACAGAAAGGGAATAAACATAACATTTTTTTGGCATATTTCTTACAAAATAAAATTTACTTTCTTAACCTGGTTTTTAATAAAAAATGAATAATAATAATAATAATAATAATTAAGAATAATAATTACGAATAATAATAATAACAAATAACATAAACAATAAATATAACGAAAAACCAATCAGAATTAACTAAAGAAACACGTACATTATAATTATTCATTTGGAATCAACCTTTATAATGATATATTGTAACCAAGAACAAACTCTGTTATTATTATTATAACTATAATTAATTCTTTTAAATAATAAATAATAATATAGGAGAAAGAGAACAAAGAATTTTAAACGAATGTTATTGGTTGCTATGGTGATCATTCATACTATGATGATTATGATTATGATGATTAAGATTTCTTTGGTGATTACTACTACTACTGCTACTTGTAGTAGTAGTAGTAGTATTGTTTACACTGGTAAGAGTAGTAGTAGTAGTAGTAGTGGTAGTAGTGGTGGTTGTAGTAGTAGTTGTAGTAGGGCTGTTGTTGGTGTAGCTTGAGGTAGGCTTTAGCTGCAATTGTATCATCAGGTTTCTAATTCTCGAGATGGCGCCCTGTGCAGTGGAGAATAAGATTTAGCGATTGATTGATTAAACAGATAATTGAATGAATGATTGATCGATTGATTAAACAGTTAATTGAATGAATGAATGATTGATTGATCAAACAGTTAATTGAATGAATAAACGAACAAACGATCAAATTGAATTTGCAGAAAACAAAGACCAACCCTGGTAGCGAGATAATGTCCAACGACATCAACGGCCACCTGATCACCCTGCATGTTTGCATCATCGGGCAGTTTTATCATGGCCCCAGTGAAGCGCTGCAGTTCTCGTACGTTCTTTCCGGATTTTCCAATTAGGCGGCCAACAAGCTGGCGAGGTACTGTGATTGTGGTTTTTAGCCGGACCTCCTCGTGCCCTGCAAATCCTTCCATCTTCATCCTTTCGAAGACCATGAAGGCAGCCTAGGACAATCAAAGCAGAACTTCAACCTTATTGATATAAAAGTACATAGTAACATTGCAGTAAGCAGTAGTAGTAGCAGCAGCAGCAGTAACAGTGGTAGCAGCAGTAGCAGCTGGGCAACAAATCTTATCATTAGGTGTTAAAAAATTAATTTCATTATTTGAGATTTTTAAAACTGAAAAAAAATTATCACACTTACTCTCCAACAGGAATCTGGCGTTCCTTTAATGATGACAATACGATCTGGGGTTGAGTCTACTTCTTTTTTTGATTCAATCTGTCAATCAACCAATCAACGAACAAGTCAATACATAGTTAGTCATCCCATCTCTTAATGAATCCATCATTCAATCCGTCAATCCACATAAGAAACAACATACCAATTTAACCACAGCCAACTAAACTGACGTTAATGAAAGCCCTGCTATCCTTCATCATCTGCTTAATGGTGACTCCGCCAGTGCCAATCAGAGCCCCGACAGCCGTGTTAGGCACGCTAATTTGAAGCACCTCACTTTGAACTAATTCAGGGGCTGGACCCCCGTGATTAATAAATCGACCCATATGTGATGGCAGTTGTTGCTGCTGCTGCTGATGTTGCTGCATCGGCATTAGTGGCGGTTGGAGAAACGACGTAAATGGATACTGGTGGTGGAAAGGGTGATGATGATGGCGAGCCATGAATGGGTGGCTCGGTGGGCAGTTTTGGTGGAACCCCTACGTGGAATGGAAGAAAATTTGTATGAAATTAACATCAACAACTCTAAACAATCAGTCAACGCTAATACCACTCAATCAGTCAGTCAATCAACCAACCAACCAACCAACTAATCAAACTAACATCAAAGAGTCGATTTCCAGGTGGAAAGAATGTTGGTCGAGCAGGTGGTGCTGGAGGCAGTATTCCAATAATGGGCTGTTAATCAAAATGGCAATGATGAAGAAGATGAAAATGATTATGATGATAAAAGTGACGATGGTGAGAGGAACATGAAGAGGAAATTTATAAACACCATATAACATCCAAATCTTCCAGACAACAACATGCATTGTGAAAAAACATGTTCAAAAGATATGTAGAATAGATTGAGAATGGGACCAAAAAATCAATCAAACAACCAGCCAACCTTTCAAACAATCAATCAAACAAACAAAGTAAACTAACAAAATTCTGAACTTGCTCTTGCTCTATGCACTCAGCAAGCTTAGCAGAAATAGCTGCCTCGGCCTTCGCCATACCCTCAATGCTGCCCCTGATGGCTATCACCCGATCAGGGTATAAACAGGCCATTTCCTGGGCACTGTAAATAATTGTTACTGCTAGAATAATCCCCAAAATGAAAAAACAATTAAGACAGACACAAAAGCAGATGCTTAGACTCACTTAGATACAGCTATCTTGGTGTCTGTCTCTTCTTTGATCTTCTTTATCATCTTGCCATCCTTGCCGATGATGCGACCACAGAATCTATCGTTGGCTAGCATCTTTAAGGATATCTCTCTGGATGGTGAAAAGATAGATAGGCAGATAAATAGATGGATCAAATGATAGATACATGGATAGGTATTTCGATACAATCTTCAAAAGTAAAAAATTTATTATTAGATTTTTATTCTTTACATCATCACTGCTAATCAGCCAACAAAATCCTACATTACAACATACATACAAACAAACACACAAACAAACAAGCACAAATACACAAAGCAACACATATACAAACAAACAGACAAACCAGCACACATACAAACAAACACAAAATGTCAACCCTTTCTCATTGATATTTGATTCCTGTTGCAGTACATGCATTATCTCTTTGCATGCATTTGTACAGTTCTCCGGCTGCCCATATATGGATATCACCTATGAAAGAATTTTAATGTCAGTGATTTTGATTTTTTAATGTTAACTTTATGTAGGACAAGTGAGAATGTTTGTTAACATTTCAATAAATAAGCCTCCTCCTTATTTTCATCAAAAAATAATTTCAAGCTATCTACATCATCATTATACCATCACCATTATCATCTACACCATCTTCAACACCCACATGCCCCCCAATCATCATCTTCTTCCCCTTCCTCATCATCATCATCATCGTCGCAATCCCAACTAACCACTTTATCATTTATCTTATCCAGTGCACCGCCTGCTTCCTTGCCGTGCACATCAACTCTAGAAATGAATGACAGAACAAAAGATTAAAAATTTAAAAGTAAATCGAAGTTCAAACTGACTGAAGCAATAACAATAACGACGGTCTGTGATGACAAGAGATGACAAATTTATAAAGACAAACATTTTTTTTACAACCAAGGCAGCAGCAGTAATAGAAACTAACCTGGCCTTACACTTCTGTGTTATGCTTTTGATGGTCTGACCCTTCCTACCGATGATTGCCCCGACAAAATCACTTGGAACTAAAATTCTGAAAAATTTATTCCACACCTTCTGACATTTATTTTTTTATCATCATGACTTCAAAAACCCATAGAAAACACAAACAGACTGCCCAATCAATCAACCAATCAATATATCAGAAGGTTGAAAAATTATTCAGTCAACCAATTTTTCCAACTGACTGACCTCAAAGGGCATCCTCCACCATTTCTGGGCTGCCTCTGGCTGCCGGCACATCCTCCACCTCCTCCAACACCTCCACCAATAAAATTGCCACCCTGAGAGCTTACATTACCAGGATTACGACCAGGCCTCACATGATTGGTCAGCTTGCCTGACGCTGGATTATTATTGGTGATCTCAACCTGCCAATCAGAGATCATAAACTGCTACTGCTACTATTATAGAAAAATATTCTCATCAATGACATCACTTATCATCATTAATATCACAATTTCATCTTTGCAGTCACTATATCACCATCATATAAACCTTGATGATTGACCCATCCAAGTTATAGTCATTCATGCGATCACAAACCCTAGAAGGAAGATGGAGCAAATTTAACAATATTTAGATAGATGATGATGCCAAAATGATGATGAGTTAACTAACATTTGGGCCTCATCTGGTGTGTCTAATATGATGATATAATATGGTTCTGACTCACTGGTCACTGTGTGGTTTACAATAGTAGTACACCATTTAAAAAAGCAATATTAATCTTTGGTTTACCTCTAAAAACCAACTAACAAATCATCATCTAACAAATCATATTTTAACTAGCACACATACACTAATCACCAATCAATACCAATCTCTGGTTTTACCTCTTGAAACCAACTGACATACATACCATGTTGAATTCTTTTGACAGTTCCAGAACCTTTTATCAGATCTTCAACTGTCTGCTGACTAACTGAGGTAGGGACATTGCGAATTTCAATCCTATTGCTTTGTCTAGGTGACGTGGGGTGGTTAGAGATTAGTGTTGGGGACTTCATGAATCAAGAAGTATAAATGATCATTCAGACAATTAAACATTTGATCAATCAACAAATTAATTTATTAACTAGCCATTTGAGTCATACTATTTAAAAAACTCAACAATACAATAACACAGATATTAACTATACACAAAAAAATCATGATATAAATATAAAGAAAGAAGTTTAATGAAAAATTGGCTCATTAGTGGTATTTTTACCGTTTTTTGACCACATTGGTTTGTTCTGTCTTGGTAACCGAACCCATTTTTTGATATTTTATTTTGATTTCAATCTGAACAAATTGTTTTTATATCATTTATTTAATGAATTTTTATTTGAATAGTCAAATCATTTAACTAATATCAATAAAATAAAAGCACTAACTTACTTGAATGAATTAAAAATAAGGTAGAGTTCTGTCTAACTAAAATAAAATGTGATGTGGATTGGATATGCAATGCGAGTCAGAATTTGAACACAGTACAAAACGAATCAGATCTTAAATCACAAATTTAGAACCTGTTTAAATACAATAAATAAATATTTTAAATGCTTAAGGTATAAGTTAGCTTGCTAGTGATGAAAAAAAGTTGGAGTGCGGAAATTAAAAATGGCGACTCTGACACTCATCTCATCTAAATGAAGAATTTTAATCCTTTATTGATCGAAACAGCAATAAAGTTGGGCTAAACAAAAGAAAAACATGCTTTTTGTTTGGACGAAATTTCAGTATCCGCCATTTTTAAAGTCGGCATGCAACAAAACAGCCATTTTAAAGAGTTTACGGAGTGAAGATATGCTCAAATAACATACAAGAACAAACTTGGTGAGTTTTTAAATACAAAAAAATAAAATTTAGTGAGAAATTTGATGAATTTATAACCTAAAGGGGTAAGACTATTGTCAAACGAGTGCTTATCTATTTCCTACAAAACAATATAATTGACCAGTGGCATGGCTATTTCGGCCAAAAACGTTTCCATCCAAAGATAAAATATAACAAAATTTTATTTAATTATTATGTTTGAAAATTTGCTCATTTTAATAGATAATTTATAAAATTTTGATGTTTCATTCAGTATCAAATAATTTTCTTTTTAAGTCTTAATAAAATACTTTTGTTTTTACATAATCAATAAATTATTAGCCAGAATTGAAACCTCCTAAAATATATTAAAAAAACACTATGAAATGATGATTTTTGAAACGAAATTGGAAAATTAAACTATAGTACATACAATAATATCTGTAATATAATATAATTATTATCATAATTTTGTAAATGTAAGCAAAATACCTGGCAGGATTCCAGGTCACCTCGTCTTCATTCCCTATTGTTTTTGTTTACATTCTATATTTACATTCTTACTATTATTGTTATTATTTTTATGATTATTACTACTATTTATTAATATTACTATTATTGTTGTTGTTAGGTTATTACGCTTTGTAATTATTATTTAATGCAGGGTTTAGAGAGCATATTATTATTATTACCTGATCATTATTATTATTATTATTATCTCAATTGAAATCTTAACGTCATTAGCATCATCATCGTAACTACCTTTTTTAAGAATGAATAATCTAGTAGATATAGCTATGATGACGATGACGATGATGATGTTTATTATTATTATTATTATTATAATTATTATTGTTATTCATAATTTATTAACATTTATATTGTCATGAGTGTCGGAGGCATTTGTTAGAGTAGAATGTAATCTGCAGTTGTCTTCTTAAATGAAATTTAGGTTATCTCCGTTACCATAATCATAACCGTCGTCGTCATCATCATCATGATTATTATCGTCATCATCATCATCATCTTAATCATCAAGATGATCGTCGTCGTCATCATCTTTTATATCAAAAATACTTTTAATAATAATAATAATAATAAATTGCCAATGTTTTCGTGTCCAAAATCTGTGCAACCCTCCAAGCAATAAAATGGTAATAATAATAATAATAATAACAATAGCAATAATACTAATAACAAATAACAATAATTAAATAATAATATTATAACGGCTATAATTAATTTATCGAATGAAGGTATAGACATAAGAATGCTAAACCAGTGAATAAATAAATCTATATAATTATGAATATATAAATTTGATATATATATAGATAAAGAGAGACAGAGAAAGAGAGAGAGGAGAGAGAAAGAGAGAGAAATTATATAGAAAAAATAACAAATTAGAAAAAACCGCTATAATAAAAAAAACCAAAAGCCATTGACTTAGGTAATTATAAACATTCTTGAATATCAGATAAAAACTTCCATACACACACACACACATACACACACACACACACACATACATACATACATACATATAGACAGAGACAGACTTAGTAATTTTTCACATAGCTAGTCCGTCCTTGGCCGATGCTAAAAGTAAATAAATATTTTCCGTGCTTTATGTGCTTTTTGTATGTTTATATGTATGTTTGTTCGTTTGTATGTATCTATGTATGTATGTCTCTATGTATGTATGTATGTATTTTGGTATTTTTCAAGTAGGTTAGCATGAACTCTTATTTTTATGATATGTTGGATTGTTCTTTTTCTATAAAATAAAAAAAATCAGCTCTGATGTTTTTTCCCAAAAAAACAACTGAAAGTCAAAGATGCTTTTCTGACAATTAAATTCACACTGAGACTGACTAACAGCATTGCAAAATCTTATATACATACATACAAACATACATACATACAAGCATACATACATACAAACAGACATACATGCGTACAAACATATGTTCATACACACACATACATATATGCATAAATACATACATATTACCTTAAAAAACATACATACAGACACACAAATATACAAACATACATACAAACAAACATGCAAGCATATGTAGGTTATTGTGTCAAACTGATGTAGGTCGTTCTCTGTGTAATTGATACTTAAACAATTTTTAGCATTGATAAGAGAAGTAGTAGTAGTAATTGTAGTAGTAGTGGTAGCAGCTGCAGCTGTAGTAGTAGTAATTGTAGTAGTAGTGGTAGTAGCAGTAGCAGTGTAGTAGTAGTAGTAATAAGTTTAGAAATTTAAACATACATACAAAGACGTATGCGCTCATAGATACAGACAACTAAGCATACATGAATGCATACATACAAACATAAATGTATACATACAAACATGCAAGCATACAAGCATACGTGATATATATATATATAGACAAATACAAACACACACACACAAACACACACACAAACACACACACATACGTACAAATAACTTTTTTAAAATATCAACGCTTTGTGCTTAGTTCCAAATCTAAAAGTGAACTGGAAAAAAGTTAAAAATTGTTCAATTTTGATATCATCATCATCATCATCAGCTTAATCATCATCAACTTCTCCGTAATCATTATTCTCATCATCATCATTATCATAATTATATTCATCATTATCATCACCAACACCGTAATACTTGAAAATATAAATAACAACGATTTAAATAGGTTAAGAGTTAATTTATTGTATGTCTGTCTGTTTGTTTTTGATTTGTATGTGTTGCATGTTCGTTTGTATGTTTGTTTGTTTGTTTTTTGTTTGTATGTTTTTAGTTCATGTATGTGTATGCACGTATGTATGTGTGTATGTTTGTATGTATGTTTGTTGGTTGGTTGGTTCGTTCAACAACAACAAAAACAACAACAACAATAATAATAATAATAATGTCACAAACAACAACATCGTCAACGACCTCTGTATCGCTTTAGAAAAACATGGCTATAAAACTAACAAACTGATGTTATGATTAATTTGACGACGACCCAAACAACAACAACATCAACAACAACAATAATAATAAGAATAATAATTAATAATAATAATAATAATAACGTTAATAATGACAATTTATAATAATAATAATAAGAACATTAGTATTATATGAACTGAAAGTTAAATTCCGTTATGAAAAAAATTAGCAGCGGTAGTAGTAGTAGTTGTTGTAGTAGTTGTAGTAGTAGTCGTCGTCGTCGTAGTAGTAGTAGTGGTGGTAGTAGTAGTAGTAGTAGTAGTAGCTGTTGCTGTGTTTTAAGGATTGTTGAATTGTTACGTAACAATTTCAATAACGAAAGTAATGGTGATGATAGTAACAAGATAGAAGAAGAAGAAGAAGAAGAAGAAGAAGAAGAAGAAGACACAGTCAAATTCACACACATACACACCCACATACAAATACACACACACACACATTCACAGACACATTCAAACATACATATATGCATACCTTCATTCGATTTTAACATACAGGCATACTTAGATACACACATACATAAATGCATGCATACATATAAATACATACACACATAAAGACACAAACATACACACATATTAACCTACATACAAAACACTTTGTTGCTATTTATAGAAACCCCCACACCATCACTGCTTGCCGCTTCGACTCGGTCAAGGTTTTGAGTATGTGTATGTATGTGTGTGTGTATGTGTGTATGTATGTATGTGTGCATGTATGTGTGTATGTATGTATGTGTGCAATATGTATGTGTGTATTTGTTTTGTATTTCTGTAGTTGTTAATTTGTATGTCTGTAAGAATGAATGGATATATACACACACACACACACACACACACACACACACACACACACATACACATACATGCATATACTATTACAAAAAACATGTGTTTGTTAGTTTTTGTTAATTTTTTGTCAATTTAATATGTATGTATGTTTATATAGCTTCAAGGATTTACCATATATAAAAATTTATATATATATATATATATATATATATATATATATATATCTGTGTATGTATGTATGTTTGTATGTATGTATATGTTTGCATGTTTGCATGTATGTGTGTGTGTATGTATGTATGTATGTATGTATGTATGTATGTATGTATGTATGTATGTATGTATGTATGTATGTATATATGTATGTAAGTATGTAGCCAGCAGACGCGCAGACGTATAAAAGTGGCGTTTTGTAGCTTGTAAGGTTTTCAAGGGGAGAAAACATCGATCGTTTGGTTTTTGTTGCTTTTGAAAGTTTTGGTAAGTTTTGTTGGCATGTTTGTTTGTGTTGTACATGTTTGTTTGTATGTCTGGTTTGTATGTCGTTGTCATCAGTTAATTGTATAATTTTTTTTCTTTACAAATGTGTTCTCAATAATGATACAATTGGCTACATTTGCAGGCCGTTGTGATATTGATAACTGGAGATTGCATTGCGAAAAATGTTTAATCAATTT